GATACGTTGTCAGCAACCCAAGGAGGCGTCTCTATGAGTCAGAGATGACTTGACAGCACATAAAAACAACAATGACATTGTCCCCTTACCAACTGTCCCAAGACACTCATGTTTTTTGTGGAGTATGGGCCTCTCAGAAGTCAAGCAACTCCACCAATTTCTATACAGGAAGAGGACATGGAAATAGGGCCCTCACTCTGCTACTGAAAACAAGCCCAGTCCCAACTCTGAAGCTTTGGAAGTCAAGACCCAGTCTCAGGTCCCTAGGTATCTCCATTAAGTGATCTGGATTAAACACATAACTGTCACCATGGAGTCTCTGCTGAGCTGGGTTTATTCATTGCTATTTTAAAAGGTCATTTTATTGGGAGGGGAGAAGGAAATGCATGTGAATGGGTATGAGTGAAAACAACAGTGGACATGTGTATTGGTTTCACTGGCCACGATGTCTATCTACTTGCGGGTGTCCAATGTGAGGTGCAGGTGATGGTATCTGGGGGAGACCTAAGAGAGTACTTGGGCTCTCTGACACTCTTCTGTTTAGCATCTGGATTCACCTTCAGTAACTACTTGATTACCAGAGTTCACCAAGCTCCAGGGACAGGCCTTATGTTGGTCTCATACATTACTTATGGTGGTGGTAGAACACACCATGTAGAATCCATGAAAGGTTGGTTCATCATCTCCAGAGACAACACCAAGAAGACACTCTATGTGTAAATGAACAGTATGAAACTCGAGGACACAGCCATGTATTACTGTGTAAGATACATAGTGAGATAAGTCAGTGGGAGCCCAGGCACAACGCTCCCTTGCAGGGAGAGGGATGTGCTGCAGGGAGCCCTCTGAACCCACCAAGCACAGCACTCAGACTCAGGAAGAGGGGCAGATGTAATTTAAGGGCTAGTTTCCTGCTGTTGTCGGGGGATTCTTCTCTGCTTCACAGTTTTATCCAGGGGATCTCTCTATTTTTATGATTCTCTGCCTCCCTCTGACATCTCTGTATTCAAAAATTGTATTGTACCAGGAGGAACCATTCTCACAGGCAGAAAAGCAGTCTGCCCCTTATGGAGGCAAAGGACTCTGCCAGGATTGCCAGCATCAGAGTTCTGATGAAACTCAGGGAAATCTGGGGAGTCTTTTCCAATCAGTCTCATGGCATATGGAGTCCCTGGGTAGTGCTAATGGGTAAATTCTTGATTACTTGCTGGAATGTTGGTAATTTGAACTCTTCCAGTGATATCTTGGAAACAGAGACACAGTGTCAAAAAGAATTGGTCAATGTTCAAACATATTTGGAGACAGCATATGATCAAGAACCAATTACATTTAAGGACTAATCTCAAGATACATTAAACATGGATTATATGCAGAAGAACATGGCTTCAGGATTGGAGGAAGAATAATTAACCACCTGAGATACGCTGATGACGCAAATTTGCTTGCTTAATGTGAGGATGATTTGAGGCACTTGCTGATGAAAATTGAACACTACATTCTGCAGTATGGATTACATCTCAATATAAAGAAAACAAAAATGCTCACAACTGGATCTATAAGCAGCATCATGATAAATGGAGAAAAGATTGAAGTTGTCAAAGACTTTCCATTG